GGATTGTTTATCTTCCTTTTGTTAAGTTGTATGAGTTCCCTATAAATTTTGGAGATTAGGCCCTTATCAGATATGACATTGGCAAATATGTTTTCCCACACAGTGGGTTTAGAGAAATACTTCTTAAAGATTAGTTCTGAGAATTAAAAAGCATTTCTTACAATTTACATTTTTTTGGTTTGCTTTTTAAAGCTTCTTTGGCCTTTGGGAAGAATAAACAAATGAGAGTTCCTGGCTATTCTGACTGATTGCACACCTGGACTTTAAGGTCATGATTTTCTTGTATAATGTCATTGACAAGTGCAGCCAACATGAACTTTTCTTTCAAGCTGTTTTTAAAGTTCCTGGAAGAAAGTTCACCATATCCTAAACCAAAGTCCCTACCAAGTTACCTGGCACCTGTTTCCTTTGTTTGCAAAGAGGGACAAAATTTCAGCCTCTGCTTTAGGTCCAAGAGCACAACCTCAGATTTTGAAGGCGCTGGCCACCAAAGTTACAAATCACCCCTCCATTCCAGCATTCTTAGAGTTTACAACAATTAGAATAGCTGTTTGACATTGGAATACATTATTGAGAAAATGTCTGTCTAAGGGCAAACTCTAAAATCCATCAAGGAAGCAAAATCTAAGTCAAAAGTCACAAACTGGCAGCTGGTGGGTAGAAGCTGGCCTACAGGCTTGTTTTACTTGGCCCGCAGAGAATTATTTAGACAACAACAACAAATGAAGCCAACATTTAGAAATTGGGCTTTTTCACTTAAAAGTCCAGGTTTCTGGCTTCTTTCCAAAGGCACACTCCCTTGAGGCTGCAGATCCCAGGTGGACCAGCCTCACTCACAGCTCTGCTGTCCTGGCCTGGGTCCTCGAGCATCTGAGTCCGACCCCAGGGTAAGCCATCTTTGGGAAAGGTGTCCCAACGTTTCAGGCAGGTGATGGGACCAATGATAAGTTTAGGTATTAAAAACCTCAAAGTCCTGCCTGACCTGCGTGGCTCAGTGGTTGAGTGTTGACCTATGAACTAGGAGGTCAAGGTTTGATTCCTGGTCAGAGCACATGCCCAGGGTACAGGCTCAATCCCCAGTGAGGGGCATGTAGGAGGCAGCCGATGGATGATTATCTCTCATCAGTGATGTTTCTATCTCTCTCTCCCTCTCCCTTCCTCTTTAAGTCAAATATATATATATATATATATATATATATATATATATATATATATATATGAAAGAACTCCCAAATTCCTGAGACTGAATTTCAGTTCTTTTTCCTTCTCCACCTAGAGGCAGCATGAATGAGGGGGAACTAGGCAGAGAGAGTCTCCCATGGCCTTTCAGGAATGCCTTGAAGAAGGGAGTCACCAAAGGGACTCATCCACATCACCGTGCACGAATACACTGCCACCAAGATATGTGTTATCCTCCCGACCCCAGTCTCTGCTATTTCCCCTGACTTCTACAACCACCACATGTTTAATCATTTACATAGATACGTGCTGGGCATCTTCTGAAGACAGGCTGCTATTACAATACGTTCACGAAAGAATTCAGGAATTCTCTGATCCCAAGAATTTGACGAACTGAGTTGGGAAGCAAACTCCCACACAAAGAGGAGAGACAGCCCCTCACTCTGTGCCAGGCACTGAGCACAGAGCTTCCGTCCCCACCATGGCTCTCTGAGTCAGTGTGACTATTATCTCAATAGAGGAACACAAAGAATGGTCAGTGGGGCCCAAATGATAGGTAGAGTCCAAAGAAGATGAAGAAAACTAGTGCAGAACATTGTGTTCAAAGTGACACATATTACCTCAAAAAAGAAACAGCAAATTATACCCTCTGATGGGTCTCTGCATCAAAATGCGATTTTCCAGTCTTTGGAACAGACAGTGACTTTTGGTGGTACTAGTACACAGTCATACATTCTTTATTTTAATAACTAATATTTACCTTAATGTTTATTAGGAGACGATAATGACATACTAGACCAATGGTTTTAAGGATGGCATTGTTTGAGAAATGGCTAAATTAACAAATGGGTTCATTTGAAATAGATTTAAAGAAAAACAATAAACATGTATTAGATGGCAAGTTGGTACCATAAATATTCTGATGATGGCATGTATAATATTGGTGTTTTACTCATTAGAAGAGTAAAGATACAAGAACAAAAGTCTCTGATTGCTTATTATAAAACTCTCAGTAACACTGGGTTTGCTAACAATAGTGTCTCTGGGTGGAACATTATCACCAAGTCACCTTCCCGGAATCTGAAGTAAGGAAGGAATGGGAAGCTGGGTGAAAAAATGCCCTCTAGTATTTTAGGAATTTAAATCTTGGATTCTCAGCATCAAGGTTTAGTACGTATTGTACCTCGTACCCGAAGCAGAAGCAAGGTTCGTCTTGCCACTGTCAGCTCGGCGTAGGCAAAACAACATCACAGCCCAATTAAATGAAACAAAATGCAACGCATGCTTGTTAGTAAGTAATAAAAACTGCACCTAATTCCATGGCACCGAAGTTTCTTGTATTTGCTGCAGATACAGCCTAAAGCAGTGATGGCGAACCTATGACACGCGTGTCAGAGGTGACACGCGAACTCATTTTTTTGGTTGATTTTTCTTTGTTAAATGGCATTTAAATATATAAAATAAATATCAAAAATATAAATCTTTGCTTTACTATGGTTGCAAATAGCAAAAAATTTCTATATGTGACACAGCACCAGAGTTAAGTTAGGATTTTTCAAAATGCTGACACGCCGAGCTCAAAAGGTTCGCCATCACTGGCCTAAAGCAACAGAACAGGAGTGAAACCTAGATAGGGCTGGATTAGATAAGGAGGAGGCCTTTTAGAGAGGAGGACCCTTTGCACGGTGGGTGAGGCCCCAGGGTAAGCGGACAGTTTAGGTTTACTCGTCTGCCTTTGTGTAAATTTGCTCCTTAACCTTGTCCCACATGCACAAAGAAGCCCTATTTAAATTTGACATATATTTTTAAAGCTTCAGAAAACTCAAAAGGGCGAGTAATAAAGGCTGCTGTAATGCTTAAGCTATTTCTATATTTCTGCTCATCAGTAAAAGGAATCTTTTTGTCTTTGGAAACAGGAGCTAAGTTATGAGGCAGGGCATGTCTACGTAAGAAATGTCCAAACCTGTAGAGAATTTTTATAAAAATTTGTTTGAGCCAAACAGGATACACCTGGAAGTGAGATCTCAACAGACTGAGAAAAATGTGTCAGAGAGTAACCGTTTGCCGTTTCTTTTATGCATGTGAGATGAAGGAGACCTGCAAGGAAGACTACATGAAAGTGGGAGGAATCAACTTGCAGGCCAGTCAAGATGGTGGCTCCCCTGGGGGTGGTTACGGTGTATTTCATAGGTGTGCTATCCTGATGCACAGAAACAATGGGCTTCCTGAAGGCGACGATAAACCTTTCACTAAAGACTTTATATGCCCGGGGAGTGACTACCCACCGTGAGGTGCCTAGTTAGGAATTTATGATCAGATCTCCCTGTGAGGTTACTTTCCATTGAACCCCCTTTTTTCCATCAAGCTTTTTTTTAAAAAGGGATTGGTCCCTAAGAGACTTGGGAACATCAGTCGGATGCTAAATAATTTTCTGAAGATGAAGAAAATGGGACTGATATGTAGACTACTGAAAATGGTCAATCTTAATAGTAATATAAACTAATATAATAATAATAAGCCACTTTGGGTATGTGAGAGAGGGGTGGGAGAGACAGAAGGAGGGAGGGAGAAAGAAAAGGAAGGAGAGAGATGGGGAGAGGAAGAGAGAAAGAGAATTCTCAAAAGCATTGCTTTAGAATGATGATAATACTGACAATAAGAAACAGTATTTATTGGGTTCTTTCTATATAGCAGGCACTGTGCTAAGGGCTATGCAAAGACCACTTTATCTTCACACTAACCCTGTCATCCCCACTTCAAAGTAAGGCATGAAAAAATTAAGTAAATTGGAGCTAGCAAATCAGTGCTGGGATCAGTAGACTGACTCCAGACCTTTGCTTTTAGATGCTGGTTTCTCAGTTGCCTTCTAAGCAAGATGGTTCCAGGCTCAGCAGCAGAAATGTGTGACTCCCAACTGCTTGCTGTAAGTGAGCCCGAGCCTGAGCTGTGACTCTCAGGGAGTCCGAGGAAAGACAGAGGCTACTGGTGGGTGGTGTTTCCTCTTCACTGTGTCCCACGCCATCGGGCACCTCTCCAAATCATTGACTTTCAGTAGATAAAGAACATTCATGAGAAGGGGTGCCAATTTGTGGTCTCTGGAGAGAGTCCACATATCTTTATGTAAACAGATAGAAACAAGAACGGGTACAGAATCAAGAATGTATAACCACGGAGCTGCTAGGAGGACGCAGGTGTTTTTGTGACGGGCCATGTAAACGCTATCCATTTCATCCTCCTCACTATAACCCTACCACATGTGCATTAGGCCCGTGTTAGAGATGGGAAGAGTGAGGCCCAGAGAATGTCAATCATTTGTGCCAAATCACACACCTAGGAAGGGGCCTTTTGAGCCCGGGCCTCTTTAGCTTCAAACCCTCCCTCCTAGCATATCACCAAGGGTGTATGTCAGCCCATTTAAAACACCAGCCAGAGTGGTGCCCAGGCTGGACCAGCTCAGCCACTTACCAGCTGTGTGACTGAGGGCCAATCACTCATGTTCTCTGTGCCTCCTTCCTCACCTGTAAGGTAGGAATATAATAGTACCTTTCCTCTCAGGTTGTATTGAGGAACGCATAAGTTAATATTTGTAAACTGTATACGCACATACGTGTTTGTGAAATAAATACAAACTCTGTCTCACAGAGGCTTTTACAGGCAGCTGACAAACCAAGTGCTAGTGGATACATTATCAATGGAAAATGCATCTAATTAGCTCCTGCAGAGGCCAACACAGCAAGCCTACCACCAGCACTGGCCGTGGGACCCAGGAGGCTTTGCTCTGAACTGCCGAACTGAAGAATACACTACGAACCAAGTCCCGGGCGTTAGTCCCAGATCCAATGTGAATGAGCTGCGTGACTTGGAGAAGGCATTTCCTTGTCTGGGCCTCGGTTCTCCCACGGTAAAAGCTGCCAGGTCGCAGCGCGACCATGTGGCATGGCACAGGGAAGGAGAGGACGGACAGACATGGGGTCCAAGTGCCCTGAGTTCTGGTTCCACCGGAATTTTATAACCTTCGACAAGTGGCTTCATTTCTTTGAATTTCGATTTCCTCCTATCCTCTAAACTGAAGAAAATGCTATCTCCGCCCCCCCCCTGCCCAACCCCCCAAATCTCACAGGGTTTGGGGCAAATAAGGAAGTGCATCTGAGAAACCCTTGGCAAAGACAGATCTATATGAGCATCTCCCGTTTCTGGGTATCAGGTGTGCACTTAGTAAATCTTAGCACAGTCTTATTTACTTGTCTTTCTGTCCTCCTAGAATCTAAGGTCCTCAAAGGCAGGGCATCTCTGTCTATATTCCTGCACTTGATAAAAAAGTAAGTACTTAGGAAAAATCCATTGATTGAATTTGTGGAAAGTAGGAATATGCAAATCAATGAATAAATGACTTTGAAGTTGCATAAGAAGCCCCTCCACCCCCCCCCCCCCCCGAACAACAACAACAAAAACAAAACCACCCTGACCTAAAGATTTTAATTAATGTCCAAAGTACTGAGAAGGGAAGATATGCAGGTATAAAGTTCTTCTGTATTACCCGCCTTCTTTTCTCTGGGGAGGTGGTTTGGGTGGGGAATGGCGAGTTCAGATACTATAAAGTGGTTAAATTAACATACTCAGCAGGTACACCAACTTTCCAGAGCTGAATACCAACTGAGATAATTAAAGGCCAGAGCCTTTGCCTTTTTTAAAATCGACTCCCCTATAAACTACCTGCTGACAAAGGCATAATTAAGTTGACTCTTGTAAGAAACAGAAGACAACTTTTCTCCTCCATTCTTAATTAAAAATGTAGTCCCCACTTTGCCCCCAAGCTCAATGAGCACTCAAATTCACTAGAACTGAAAGGAACTACACTTTTAGGGGTTTTTCTTTTCTTTTTAAAATGAAGCCTGCAATATCCTTTCTTTCCAGTTACCAATCCGTCAGACGCTCAGAAGTCGCTGTGCTGGAAAAAGCAACTGGAGGGAGGCAGCTACCCAGGCCAGGAGGTGGCCACACCAGCTCCGCCTGAGGGACGGAGACATGCCCAGGAGCCTCCCCCATCACTGTTCATCTGTGTGGCCTAAAATAAAATCTGCAATTTTTAAATGCTTGTTCTAAAAATAGGGAGTTTGGCTGAAACCCACCAGTTGGTGTTTTGATTTTTAAATTATGTACCGGTAAGCAATCCAGGGAGGTTGCAATTTTATTTTGATGTCAAGGTTCTAAAACATTTGTTCTCTTTGAATGTGGGGAAAGGTGAAAGGAGATAAAAGGAAGGTGGGGATGATGATGATGCAGAAGGCTTAACTTCCAGTTTGAAAGCAAAAGGCAGCTAGACATCCCTAAAACAAATAACATATTTTAAAAGTTTTATTTTGGGGGCAAGGGGGAGAGGAAAGAGCCAGGGGCTAAAACTTACTCAAAATGGAAGAGAAACTGGTAAGTTTCAACCTACTCATATCGTTCCTGATGTCGTTTCTGGAACCAACTCCTAATGGGCAGCTTTAAAAGCATTAAGAATTTTCTGAGTGTTGGGTGGTCCAAGACTTGGTCTTTGAGATAAGAATTTTAAAGTCTCCATAATCAGAATGCATTTCAAGAAAGATGTGCTATTATAGCATCTTAATGAATGAAGATTAATTTCACATGACATGGGGGCTATTTTTTAAAAGTTCTCGTATAATGGGAGTGGGGTGAGTGGGAAGTGTTATAAGAAGCTATGGGCTTTTGGACAAAAACACTGAAGTACCTTAAATACTTGATTTCACTTGTGAATTTTAGCAACGCAATTTTCAGCTGATCACTAGAGATTTGGAATGTCGTGTGCGTGTGTGGGTAGCATCATGTGTGAACCATGAGAGCCACCGTTTACCCCCCTCTCCCCGGAACAAACACCCACAAACCGATGGGGATGCTCTGAAGGTTAAATTGGTTAGTTTAGTTGTCCAGGAATGTACGCTATGCAAACAATGTCGGCTCCCTGTGCCAAGGCACAGATACTGTGGGACTGGAGGCTGCTGGCCACGAGAAGGATGGTGGAGCATGTAGTTCTACTCACTGGGGCAAAGTGGGAACTCTCAGAGAGTGGTTGTGACGTGTCAGCATGCTAATCTGCCAAGGACAAATCATTACAAAACTTGCTATATTAGAACCAGAGACTGTTAGTCTGTGTATGTGTGTGGGGGGGGGGAGGGGGGGGACAGAGGCGGGGAGGGCAGGAATAACGATCCCTCCTTTTAGGGATGAAAAAAGGGGAGAGAAGATACAAAGTGGACTACAGTTCACTTTCAAAAGGATTCTTCTGCCTGCAAAATGGTTCTTTTGAAGAGGGAAATCCTGGGTATTTAAGAGTTTGGTTAAAGATCAAACAAAAAATACCCTGGCTTTTCAAATGCTGGTGGCAGAAAGGCTAACGTGTTAGGAGGCAGGCTGCCAATCAAAGATCAATTCCATAGGAAGGTCAGAGAAGCACAGGAAGGAACCTGTGGGCTTCTGGGAAGAGGCAGTTTGCTTTACAAAAATCTGCTTTATGCATTTTTTTTTCCTTCAGAGAAACACAGGGGATGTGGGATCTTCAATCAAGACAGAAAAAAAGGGGAGAGGAAGGGAACAGGGGTCTGGGGCAGCTAGGAGAGAAGGCCCGCAGTGTCTCCTTGGATGGCAGGTGGTTTATTTGCACCCTCTAGGAGTTCCTGAAATAATTAACATGCACCGCCATTCTTGTTTTTCCAGTCGTGATTTCATCCAGTCCATGCAGAAACTCAGAATTAAATGTCATGGTTTTGTTCTTTGGAAAGCAAAACTCCCCCCAAACGAGGGAGTTCTGCATACCGCTGAGGGCATGTGAGCTCTGAAACGTTTGCAGAGCGCTAATCATTAACACGCCACTTCTGAAGGTAGAGCTTCCCCTTTCTTTGCTGATGGTAACAATTCCTTCCGTTGGAACCTGCCCTGTCCTGGTTTACTTTCTGTTTCTCCCCCTCGTTTCCACGCATTCTTCTGAAACACATGCGAGGCCCCGAATAGCCTCCCTCTCTGCAGGCCAGCTCAACACTTCCCTCACAAGCCCTCATTTTTCAAAATAAATTCATCACTGACTTATTTTTCCAAGACTTCTCCCTCTTCTCACTCCGCTGGAGGGAAGCTCCCTCCTCCTTAAATAATGCAGGAGAATAAAGAAGAGGTAATAAGATCTGTAAGAAACTGAATTTCAAAAAGGTGTCAGAGAAAGACTAGTCCGGCAATTAAAGATGGACACAGACAGCTCTGGGTTTGCATCCTGGCTTTGCCATTTAGTAGCAGTGAGGCTTTGGATTGGTTACTTAATCTCCCGAAGCCTCAGTTTTCTCATCTGCAAAATGGGGATAAGAAGAAAACCCTTCTAAACAGACTGAAGTATTTCAGAGGGAAGGTGGGGGTGGGAAGAGATTAACCAATGATGCATATGCATATATATGAATAGCCCATGGGCCTACAATAGTATGGGGAAGGCCTTGGGGGAGGGGGTGTGAGAGCAGGGTAGAGGGGATTAATGGGGGGAATCTGTAATATTTTCAACAATAAAGATCAATTTAAAGTAAGTAAGTAAGTAAGTAAATAAATAAATAAATAAATAAATAAATACTATCCTGGGGGGGGGGGGGATAATAAAACCCTTCCAGGGATGTAAGGGGGAGTAACTGAGAAAATCATATGAAGCACTTCTAGTTGCTAAAACATAGTAAACATTAGACAAATGTTTGCTTTATTATTATTATTATTACTATTATTATTTTAATGTAAACCCTTTGGATAGGAAGGGTTTACATTACACCATTCCCTTCTCCCCCCAATGCATAAAGAGTAACCAGAATCAGTGCTTCTAAAAGCTAAAGAACAACAGCATGAGGAAGGCTCAGTGCATTTTCAGACCACAGCCCCTGGGAAGCACTTCTCAGAGGCAATATGCGGAACAGAGCCAAGTGTCCAATTGTAGGTGTTTCCAATGAGGACACAGTGGTTGATCTGCATGCCTTACCTGGCGGACCAGCCTCAGCCCCGTCCCCCTCTCCACAGGCTGTCAGCCTTCCCAGGGAGATGCGACACAGCCCTGGACACAGGAATTTACAGCCAACTCCCCCCATGTCCCCCCCCCCCCCCAGGTCTCTTCTCCCTTTTGGTGACCTCAAGGCTTGAGGGGAATAAAAACAACGGCTCCTCCTCACAAATAGAGCAAAGACCCTGCCTGCTGGTAACCGAGTCACTGGCTAAGGCCTGTTCCATTTGTAGATTTTCCCAGACCATGACCCAAAACTCAAGAAGGCAGGCTCCAAATCTCAGACAGCTCTGTTCACCAGAGCGTACTTCAGGGCTGGAACTTTGGGGATGGGAGGTACACCACTACCAGCCTGCCAAAAGCCAATCCTCCTTTAACACACATACACACACACAAAAGAAAAGAAAAAAAGAAAGAAAAGAAAGAAAGGAAGAAAAAAGGCGAACCTTTCCTAATAAGGGAATGCCACATGCCATTTGTGGTTTTGAATTGCTCAGCATGGAAGGGTCACGTGACATTCACAGCCGCCATCCCTTCACGCTTGTGCCAGGCTCTGCAGGAAGAATGAGAGCGCGCCTTTGGTGTGCCTGGGGGGATTACAAATGAATGGGGAACATGCTTTGCCGGTGGAGCCCCACATTTTCCTGATTAACCACACTGGCCTCACGGCCTCCTGCACCGCTGCCTGCAGGACTATGGCTTTGCAGGCCCAGCACTGTGAAAACTCTCGGGCGGCTCTGCACGCACGCCTTCTCTCTCCAGCGAGGTACAAGCTTCTTGAGGGCAGAAGCGCTCCTTTATTTCTTTGGCCTCGCCCTGCTATGCTTATCACTGCGTAATCTACCCAGCAGTTAATAAATGCTTGACGATGGACTAGTGCTGGGAATTTTACAGAGCAGTAGGTGATTGCTTTATACCATGAGCCCCCAACTTATAAACCGGCAGGGTTTCAAAAGTTGGCTTCAAAGAAGGTACTTATAAAGCATATTTTCCCATAGAAACAGCGTTATAACTGGGGGTTAGGTTTCCAAGCCTGTTCATTTCTCAGAATATCCTATTCATATGTATCTACCCTCTTAATGGAGCCACTTCATTTCTCAGATTCACAATCAGGCTGGCCGTGCGTGTGTGGAGTATGTTTTTTCGATGTCATGATTTCGTTTAGTTACATCAGTGACTTGCACAGATTTCCCACCCTCTTCTTGGATGTATTTTCATATTTTATGATACTTTATGAAGGTAATGATTTGATACTTCCAAAATAAAATTAAGAAATTCTTTTTGCTCATCGTTGAAAAAGATGCATCTGCTTTTGTTACACACTCCTATATATCCATTTATATTCTACCTGTTTCCCAAAAAAGATATGTAGAAAAAAAAAATCACAACGTCCAGGACTGGCCATTTGTATTTTTGTGCACATACATATTTATTTATTTATGCATATATATTTATTTTGGGCCATTAAAATATTTTTTTTAGCCACTAAATAAATGAATGACATTCGCTTTAAAAGTAAAAGCTATAGTTCAAAAATAAGGCGGAGTCGGTAAGACTCTTGCTTGCTGGGGCACAGAGAGACCATTTAATGGTCTGCCTCTGGGAGTGACTCCGCATGTGTGGAGAAAAGCTTTCCATGGCTCGGGGAGGACAAACACTACCAGCCAGGCCATGTGTGGTGAGGACAGTCTGGGGCTCCAGGGCCCAGGCTCCGTCAGAGCCCGCAGAGTGGCAGCTCTGTGAGAACACTGTCCACTGTCCAGGGTGGGGCCTTCCAGAAGGTCAGGGTTACCGTGTTTGGGACCATTAGTACAAAATACATGCACCCAGATGCCTGTCTTTGTACTTCTCCTTGTAATAGCTCCCTGGACACGTAGGAACCTAAAAGGCCATCCCTTAGCTCTTGTTCCCGTGCAATAGCATCTTGAAAAGATGTATCCATATAATTTTCCAGGATGAAAGGCATGATGTCTCCTGTATTTCTAAGATTGGCAGAAAGGATTATCCTGTGGATATTCTAGAAGAGCCAAACCAAAATAACAAGCAGACAGGAAG